ATAAAAATGGTGCCACCATTTAATTTCACTTAAAATTATTGACTTCAACATTTTGCTTTTTCACAGATAGAATTAAATCTATTATGGATCTTGGTTTCTGTTTAATCCTTGTAGCTGACAACAGGTTTTCCATTCTAAAATTAAAACACCAATTTCTTTCAAGGCACTGTCAAGTTGCTAGACCTTTCATAACTCTTGAGGCAGCCTGAGAGACCCAATTATATTGGCATGGGCGTTGCCACCCAACTCACCTAAATGTCAAAGGCTTTTAGGGTTTTCGGTCCATATGGGCTGGCAGATGCCGTGCGGTATGTGCACATGCCCACCTGAGAGGTACCACCCTACCCCTAAATACTCTGGTAGAGTAGGTGAAGGGCAATTTTACTACTGCCTCCAGAATCACATTACCCTGGGGATTTGTGAGAGCATTATTTGTAGCATGTTTAATACAGTTTTTTTTACATGACGTAAGTATGTTTTGTCATTTTATTAACCCAAAGGTTATAAATACTGATTCCACCATGGCAAGGTATGAAGTTTGATAATTTGGTTATTTGTAGATTGAGACCACAAAAAACACTTAGTTACTGAACTGTTGCAATCACCAGCTATTTAGAAATAGGGAACCTGGTCTGAATGATACGTGACTTTACTTCACAACATAGGGCTGATATTTGCTACTTTCTGAGGTGCCCTAGGAAACTGCTCAATTACAGAGAATCAAGAAGAAAGCCTACCACTACAATCTCAGGATAATTACATAAAAGCAATAAATAGTAATCTTGAAGTGTTACCCCATCAGAATAATAAAATATATATCCTACCCCACATTGTAGAGAGATGTAAGGCCAATGTTCCACAGTTTGTTCAATTTTTCAAAAAGCAGAAGTATATTAACAGAAGTGGGTGAATGGTTAATGCAGTCGTCAACTGTCAATGCATTTATAAAAATAAAGACCAAACCAACATGTTGTACGATATCTTTCACATTCTCAGGACATGCCAAACTGTTTCACAGACAATGAATTACTTTTGAATTGTTATCTGTTGTCATGGTGCTGTTTGATGGATACATCTTGTTCAGGTCATCTGGATAACTTCTTCCAGATAGTCCCATGGGATCATGTGTGAACCCCTGAGAGTTCAGGCTAGCCTTTGTTTCCTCCCTCATTTGAAAGATGGAAGCTCTGACAGTGCTATCCTCCTTCAACTTTGTACCAGTGTGCTGCATTTCTACCACTATTCTGGGAAAAATATAGAGTTTCTTTGTTAAAGCCAATTATATTAAATCACTGTGTTGTAGGGTTAAGAGGAGGACTGAAGTGAACCACAGACCAGTACAGGCAACTACATGAATGGCTCTCAATAACTTTGAAGGGTAAAAACTGAAAGAACTGCGGATGCTGTAAATCAGAAACAAAAACAGAAATTGCTGGAAAAGATCAACATGTCTGTGGAGAAAAGTCAGAGTTCTGAGGAAGGGTCACTCAACCTGAAACAGTAACTCTGATTTCTCTCCACAGATACCGCCAGACCAGGTGATACATGCTGGCCTTGTTATGTGTGCATGCGTGCACATCTGCATCTATGTGTGTTTCTACATCCGTGTGTCTCTGCGCCTGTATGTATCCATATTTGTATGTCCTTGTGTATTAGTTAAACGTTGTCTTACCTCTTGGACCAAAGTGCTGTAAGTAGCAGTGATTGCAATATGGCTTCTCATCATACTAAACAAAATAAAAAAAGGAAAGATAATCAAAATAAAAATAGTTTAATTTCCCATAAATAATTTCAATAGAATATTATCATATCCTTACAATGTCTCAAAATTCATCATAATCAATTATCTCTAAAAGCAGTCAAATTTTCTGTAACAAATACAGCATCCTATTTGCATACGGTATGATCTAACATACAGCACATTAAGATCAATAGTCAGCTGGTATATTTTTGGTGGTGTTGGTTGAGAGGGAATTGGCAGCTAGTTACTCAGGACAACTACCTATTATTTTCTCAAATAGTCTAAAGCATATTTTACATCTATCTCAACAGTCACATGGGGGCTGGTTTAATATTCCATTCAAAAGGCAACACCTCTGTCAGTCTAGCACTCAGCTCCCGCAAGTGATTTTAAATTCACAACCCTTTGATCCATGGGCAAATTCCCAAGGTTTAGAGTTGACCATTTAACTTAGAAAAACAATGTAAGTAATAAACATTATGCTAATCAGAGTAGGAAGTTATTTTCTTGAAGTGAAACAGATCTAAATTTTTTTTTAATTCAAGTGGACCCCAAGTTGCCGCCCAGGAGGCTGCTAAATAAGATAAGAGCCCATGGCATTAGGGCAAGGTACTGGCGTGGATAAGGAATGGCTGACTGGCAGAAGGCAGAGAGTAGGGATAAAGTAATCTTTTTCAGGATGGCAGCCGGTGACTAGTGGAGTTCCGCTGGGTCAGTGTTTGGACCGCAACTATTCACATTACATATTAACAATCTGGACGAAGGAACTGAGAGCATTGTTGCTAAGTTTGCAGATGACATAAAAATAGGTGGAGGGACAGGTGGTGTTGAGGAAGTGGGGAGGCTGCAGAAGGACTTCAACAGGCTAGAACAGTGCGCAAAGAAGTGGCAGATGGAATATAATGTGGGAACGTGTGAGGTTATGCACTTGGGTAGAAAGAATAGAGGTATAGGCTATTTCCTAAATAATGAAAGGTTTGGGAAATCTGAAGTACAAAGGGACATAGGAGTCCTAGTTCAGGATTTTCGTAAGGTTAACATGCAGGTTCAGTTGGCAGTTAGGAAGGCAAATGCAATTTTAGCATTCATTTCAAGAGGGCTAGTATACAAGAGCAGAGATGTACTGCTGAGGATGTAGGCTCTGGTCAGACCACATTTGTAATATTGTGAGCAGTTTTGGGCTCTGTATCTCAGGAAGGATGGGCTGGCCTTAGAGGGGTTTACAAGAATGATCCCGAGGATGAAGAGTTTGTCATATGAGGAGTGGTTGAGGACTCTGGGTCTGTATTTGATGGAGTTTAGAAGGATGAGGAGAGATCTGATTGAAACTTACAGAACTGAGATATGGAGGAATTTCTTCAGCCAGGGTGGTTAATCATTGGAACTCATTGCTGTAGAGGGCTGTGAAGGCCAAGTCATTGATTGTATTTAAGACAGAGATAGATAAGTTCTTGATTAGTAAGGGGATCAAAGTGTGTGGGGGGAAAGGCAGGAGAATGGGGTTGAGAAGCATATCAGCCATGATCAAATGATGCAGCACACTCGATGGGCCAAATGGCCTAATTCTATTCCTATATCTTATAGTCTTGTGGTCTTACATCAGATGAAAATGCACCTGGATGAGCGGTGTACTTTATCCACAGATGGTATTTAAACTAAAAAAAGTTTACGTTTTTCTGCTGTCCGTTACGTATTCCCTCTACATATCCATATCCTGCTCATCAATTTCATGTTTCAGCCCTCTTTTTAGACTATCGGCTCCATCCAGGTTTTAGTCTAGTAATCCTTCTCTAAACTGCTTCCGATGCACTAACATCCTTCTGTAAGGACAGAGACCAATACTTGTACGCAGTACTTCAACCAGCATTCCCTTGGAGTTTTCCTGCTGCTTGCAGAGGCATCCCAGCAGTGTACACAGCAGCGGCCTCTGGAACTGGAAGTCAATGCTGTGATCAGAGTGTCGATACCAATCACCGTACGCAGAACATTGGAGCGGCTATATCCATACACAACTACACAGCTTAGAGGGAGCATTGCTTCAGATGCAGACTCAGCAACGCCCTGTATATCTGAAACATTACCTCCCTGCTCTTGTATTCAATTCCTCACAAATAAACAATAATATTCTATTAGCTTTCCTGATTAGTTATTGTATCTGCTCACTAACCTTCCACGATTCATACACTAGGACACCCAGATCCCTCTGCATCTCAGAGCTCTGCAACCTCTCACTGTTTAGATAATACGATTCTTTTTTATTCTTTCCATCCAAATGCCTGTTCCCATTCTGTAACTCTGTATATTTCTATTTAATCATACTGAAATCTTCCATGTATGTTCAACACATACCTAAGCTATGCTTTACTTTCTATTCCAAACAACATTACCACTGTTTACTTATAAAATAGGTAGATGATACATTAGACTGGGCAGGTTTCTGTGGAATGCCAGCTAAAGAGGTGATTTGCCTGCATTGTTAAAGTCACCTTGAACTTATTGCCATTGTCAACCTCAACTTCTATCTACCACCGCTTCGACTATGCTCTTTCTCTTGGCAATTGAGGCTTCTGTTCATTTGTCTGTGAACGACATTAATAGTCACAAACTGGGGTTCTATAATCTCATTTGAACTTTAATAACATGCTAATTGACAATTTACCAGGGTGCGCACTGTGGCTGTCACACTCAACAATTCCTGGTCTATAGGGAGAAGGCCTACTGAGGTAAATGTCAACGTTTTATTGGTGTGGTCAAGAGACTCCATCAAAATGTTTCTTGTAATTAGTAGTTTGCTTCCAGCCCAACCAATTATTATCTTCCAACAGTCATCCAATTGCCTCTTTCTATCTCTTTAGGTTGATCAGCTGATAGCCAAGTTGTAAATGAAGTTTGATAGCTAAAACAACCAGGACCTCAAATAAATATCATCATTCAGCATCCAGCTACCTAAATACCACGGCCATATAGACTCATAGAGTCATGGAGATGTACAGCATGGAAACAGACCCTTTGGTCCAACTCATCCATGTCGGCCAGATATCTCAAATTAATCTAGTCCCAATTGTCAGCATTTGTCCAATATTCCTCTATATCCTTCCTATTCACTTACCCATCCAGATATCTTTTAAATGTTGTAATTGTACCAGCCTGCACCACTTCCTCTGGCAGCTTATTCCATACAAGCATCACTCTCTGCGCGAAAATGTTGCCCCTCAGGTCCCTTTTAAATCTCACCTTAAACCTATGCCCTCTAGTTTTGGATTCCCCTACCCTGGGGTAAAGACCTTGACTATTCACCCTATCCATGCCCCTCATGATTTTACAAATCTCTGTAAGGTCACCCCTCAGCCTCCAACACTCCTGGGAAAATAGCCCCAACCTATTCAACCTCTCCCTATAGCTCAAATCCTCCAACCCTAGCAACATAAAATACAACCCAAATTTCTCCCTCAACCATTAAGCCAAAAAACAAACTCTACTGCCTCCCAACTATCCACGTGCTCTCTGTTTTAAGTCTCTTAAATTTATTTTCTATCACTATTGTTGTTCATTCTATTCCCCATCGTTACTAGAAATAACCAGTGTTTACCTACCCTGTCCCATCTTTTTACAATTTTGAACATTTCTATTGGCTCACCCCATAATTTGTATTATTCTAATTGGAAAATGATAAGTTTGTCAAATGATTCCATGTCGAGTTGATTACATTAAAGTATCTGTAAAACCTCAACATCCTTCCTGTGATGTGAAAACTAATTCTGCACACAGTACTCCAACTGAAATCTTATTGAAGCTTAGATAAGTTCAAATGATTTCTTAAGGGTGCATTTTCACATCTACACCCGGTGGAGCAGATTCCTGGTTTTTTATAAAACCAGCCTAATTTTCATTCCATTAGAATGAATGGTCTGTAAGATTACTACTGTAATAACTCCACAGAGGTCGGTATCCCATCACTAAGTCACCCTTTATATACACCTAGAGAGTCATTGACACTGATCCAGCTGCTTCAGAGATCACTCTCAGAGTGAACAGGATGTCTGACTCTCCTGTTCTTATCTGTCAGCCAGGGCTCCCTGATTGGGGCTGTTAATCTGGATCAATCAGGGAACTCACATTCTATCAATCTGGCTGACCTGGTTACAATCACTACATACCTCCCTGTCAGAGTCCAAGGACATAGGCCAGTTCTTTTTTTCTGTAGCACCTCCTGGGGCGTTTTTAGCACTGGGTCAGGTTCCTCCAACTCTGCCCCTGATATAGGCACCATGTAAAGCACAGTAGCTCGCTTTTTGTGCCTGGAACATCTCGGAAGAAATTCATTCCCTTCTTCAGGCAGCAAAGGCGTCGAAACGGAAGCATCTGCTGTGTCCATTGCAGCTTCTGAGATATCTTCAACGCTTGACAAAGAGGGAGAAACCACGGATTCTGGAACAGTCCTAAAGGCTGTCAAGGAGCGAGGCACATTTTGCTCCCATTTGTTAGTTTTCAGCTTCCACACGTACCACGTGCTTGTTCAGGACCGTCATACTTACCTGAACTTTATCCGTCACTGAACCTGACCTCATGTCAACCATGATTCTTACCCATGTAGGGCCTTTCCCATTGATGCAAAGGTGCCAGGATGGAGGCCAAGTTATGTACGAACTTTCTGTAATAATTCACCAGCCCAAGGAAAGACCTAAGCTTCAGTACAGACATGGGAGCTGGGGCACCTTTGACTACCCTCACTTTATCTTCCAATGGGTGTAATCCGGTCTTGTCGACACTTTAGCCCAAGTAGGTCGCTTGGGGGGCCTGGAACACCACATTTTCCCCTTCTGAGGCATATGCCTGCCTGGGAGAAATGGCCAAGGACTATGACCAAGTTCTCTAAGTGCTTCTTATTGGTCTTTCCTGTTATTAGTTAAATGGTGACTTGAAGTAGACCTTGTAAAATGTTCTCCATCATCCACTGAAAAATTGCACAGGCTGATGATACCCCAAATGGCAGTCTCTTATATTGGTACAAACCGTTATGGGTATTAACTGTAGTGTACTTCTGGGAAGCCTCATCTAACTACAATTGCAAGCACACATGGCTTATGTCTAGCTTCATGCAGGACAGCTCCCTGCCAGCTTTGTGCATAAATCCTCTAAGTGATGGTGTGGGTATTTATCCCGCTGCGAAAAGCGGTTTACCGTTTGTTTAAAATTCCCACAAAGGTAAACTGACCTGTCGGGCTTCACAACTGGTGCTGCCCATTCCGCAAACTGGGCTGGTTTGATGATTCCTTCACTTTCCAGCCTTCTGATTCCCGCCTTTACTTTTGCCCATAAGGCAAATGGCACTGGGCGGGCCTTGCAAAATTGTGGAATTGCTTCCTGGTCAACATGCAAGGTGGCCTTGGCCTCATTGATAGTCCCTAGACCTTTCTGAAAAACCTTCGGGTATTTAATTAGGACTTCACTCAGGCAGTCATTTTCTAATCAAAAAATGTTGAGCCAATCTAAGTGAATCTTTCTCAACCAATCTCGCTGTATCAAGCTTGGGCCTGAGCCCTCTACTATGATCATTGGTATCTGAACCAGCTGCTTCTCTTAACAGACAGGAACCAGAGTTATACCCTTAATTTGTAAAGACACCCCGGTATAGGTTCTCAGTCTAGCCAAGGTCTTGCACAAACTTAAGGGTTTGAGTACAGAGAGAATTTTGATAAAGACTGGTTCTGCAATGACTGATACAGCCGTGGAGGTATCGACCTCCATTAGAACCTGGTGACCATTTAACCAGGACAACAAGGTGCAGAGCTGGATGAACACAGCA